CATGGTGTCTTAAAAAACAAAAAACAAAACCTGGTGATCTAATTTCAAAGGTCACACCCTTGAAAACTTGTTTTCAAGATGGCAAGAGCAAGATAGAGGAGTAGGCAAGTGCACTGTGCAGACCCTCTGCAACAACGACAAAGGAAACAAAGTGAAACAGATACAGGTGGTAATTCTGGAACCCTAAGCATCTTAGGTAGATCGAGTGCAGACAGGGAGAGGAAACTGAGCAGGAGAGGAGAGATAAGAGAGGGACAGGTCAGTTGTCAGCTGGCTTGGCTGCAATATGACTGTTTTGAGCTTTTACAGCAGTGTGGAGGCACAGAACATGTTCTGGGGGCTGGCAGGGAGAGAGATGCAGTTCTGCCTTGCTCCCTGTGGCCTCCTGGCAGGGAGGAACATGGCCAGTTCCCTTTCTTTGCCACCTCAGAACAAGTGACACTGCCTCCCACATAGCCTCTTCTCTGCCTAGGGTCAGGCACTGATCATACCACATCCACTGGTCTAGAGGCTCTTGAGTTTTGCCTCAATAGATTGTTTATTGCTGTTGTCTACTTAAGAGACATAGAAATTGTACCTATACATCCATGGGTACTTGTAGTTTCATGAAGTGGGGAAGTGCCATTACCCATTTCTGATAATTAACAATGATAAATAACAACCAACATCAGACAGACATGCACTGAACTATGTTATACAAAGACCAACCAGGGAGTGGGGTATACACTTCTAGTCTCTATGATACCCACCATAAGACAGATGGTGAGTGCCTAAGAACATATCAGCATATGATCATAAATAAAACATAGATATAATAATACCACAATATCTTGGAGACAAAAGACAGTTTTAACTTATATGAAGAAACAAGACAGAAAGGATCAACAAGAGACCAAAATATGAGGGTGAGTCAAAAGTTATCAGCATTCTGCTTATATTAAATTGCCTGTCCACATCCATGGCTGATGACAACATCGAGCATGCACATGAAATGATTCTGTCGAATAGATGAGTGACAGTGGATTATGTGGAAAATCATTAGCAAATCAACCATGGCTCTGCCTATGAAATAATCCACAATGCACTTGGGTTTCAAAAAGTTTGTACAAGATGGATACTGAAACAACTCACAGGACAGCATAAACAGAAGGGTTTGGACATCTGACAATGATACTCAAAAGAAGGTAAAAGTTTCTTTAAAAAAAAATTGTTACTGGTGTCCAGATATGGATTCATCCTCTATAAGCCTGAGAGCAAATGGCAGAGTATGGAATAGAAACATCCTCAATGACCAACCAAGAAAAAGTTCAAAAGTTAACCATCAGCTGGAATATTGATGCTTGTAATGTTCTGGGATTCTCAAGGGAAAATATCAAGAGAAAGGTTCAATAATCAACAATGCTCATTATAGTAAGATGCTCACTGAAGATCTGGAGCCAAAACTTTAGATTAAACAAAGAGGACTACTATCCAAGGGTATTGTAATCTTGCATGACAGTTCTCATCCACATATCTCTGTCCACACTCTTGACACTCTGTAAAAACTTCATTTTGAGGTGCTAAAGCATCCTCCCTATAGTCATGACCTTGCTCCATCAGATTTTCACCTGTTTGGTCCCCTGAAAACAGCCCAAGGACAAAGATTCACTTCTGATGAAGAAGTGAAGACAGTGGTACATTCATGGCTTGCAGCTCAGTCCAAAGCATGGTTTAATAAGGGAATATGAAAGATTCTTGACAGATGGGCAAAGTGTATTGAAAAGCAAGGTAATTATGTCAAAAAACTGAGTATTTGTCTTTTCTGAAAGTTGATTAAAATAAATTATACAACCAGAGTGCAGTTAATTTTGACTCACCCTCATATATAGTCAGAAAATATAATACAAAAGCCTGGTATTGGAACTACCTAATAAGAATTTAAAAGAATGATATTTAGGTACCTTTAACTGATTGAAAGAATGATTGAGAATGTTACTGATGAATGCAAGAAAAAACGCAGAAAAAACTCTTAGAAGAATCCAGAAAAAAATTACAAGAACAAACTGACAAAATAAATGAAAAATTGCAGATCATACAAATAGAAGTAGAAATCCAGATGATAAAAGTTAAGATTTATGTACATTGAAAGGACATTGAAAGTTAAGATTTATGTACATTGATAGTACATTGAAAGGACAGGGAAGTAGAAAAGAATCAGTGAAAAACTGAATTGGTGAGCTTGAAAAAAACCTCTCAATATTCCTCTGATAAAGAAACAAAAAATCTGAAGAAAGTCTAAGAATTATGTGGGACCCTATCAAGAAGAATAACTTGCATACAGCTGGGATTCCAGAACAGCAAGAGATGAAAATTGTCAAAGAATTGTTGGAGGAAAATTTTCCTAATATTATGAAGATGACAGGATATGTTTTCAAGAAATGGAATGAATTCCAAACAGCACAGACTCCAAAAGAAATTCACCAAAACATATTATAATCAAAACAAAGACAAAACAAAGGACCTTGAGAGTAGCTCAGGAAAATTAAATAAGGTACCTACAAAGGAGAGCTGCTAAGAAAAGGCTCTGCTATCTCCCCAGAAACAAAGCAGGCAAGAAGACAATGGTGTGACATATATAAAACTGTGAAAGAAAAAAAAAACTGTAAACCAAGAATCATATATCCAGCAAAACTGTCCCTTAAATATGATGGTAAAAAAAGACACTTACAGCTAAACATAAATTAAAAGAATATGTAAAAATCAGACTAGTCTTACAAAAAAATACTATAGGGATCTCTTTGGACAGAAAACAACAGCAAACAACAACCTGAGATTAACATATATGACAGAATTACCTAGAATTCAACCCAGATAGAGGAGTTGTTGTTGTTGTTAAGTGCTGTCGAGTCAATTCCAACCCATAGTAATCCTGGAGCAGCTGGTAAGCTTGAACCACAGCACCACACGGGGACTCCAGACAGAAAAGTAGCCAATTTAAAATAAATCCACAAGATTGAAAATAAATAACCAGAGTTATCAGTTTGCAACACCAAAACACCCTATAAATTCTATGTTAAAACATGGAATAGTGTAGTTAAGAACTTCCAAATGAGGAGAAAATTAAATAGATGTCAGGAATAAAAATAACTAAATTAACTCTGGTAGTGTAGTGGTTACGAATCGGGCTGCGAACCTTAAGGTCAGCAGTTCGAAACTACCAGCCGCTCCGCGGGAGAAAGATGAGGCTTTCTACTCCCGTAAAGACTTACACCCTTGGAAACCCTGTACAGGGTCGCTATGGGTCGGAACCAACTCGATGGCACTTCACAACAACAACAAATAAAAAATAGACCTAACTGTAATACTAAAACTAGACCAGGCCTTACCCCCTAACCCTAATACCTTAGTCCTAACCATAACCCTAACTCTACACAAAACCCTAGGCCTAGCCTAGAACTAGCCATAGTTCCAACCTTAACCCTAACCACTTACTTCTACCCCCACCCCCATTAAAGGAAACGGTATGGAAAAGTGGCACTCAGCACACATGTTGTCACCATAAGTCATAAATTACTCAACTGCAACTAACAACAACAACAGCATACATTCCACACACATAGACCTGTAAGCCTAATTTTAACACAAAAAATTATTCTAATTATGAGCTATAGTGTTTTCATGAAGAATTCACAATTGTTGCATTTCTCACAGGAACTATTCCTGGACCATTACTTATTAAAAAGGCAGGAGAAATGTCTTGTGCCTTTTATGGTACTGGAATTTGTGAACGCCCAAGAATTTGTCATCTCTATAACAAGACAAAAATGGTCAACTTATTGGTAGGGATATGTAAGTAGCATCTATTGAGAAATATGAATAAATAATATTGTTTAAAATATGTATGTTTCTAGAAAGTTAGAGTAATAATAAACTATAAGATATTATTTGTTGAATGATGATGCATGGAGGGGATTGTAATCATTGCAATGAAACAAAATATGATAGGATGAGTGTAAAGCTAGTGTTCTCCCATGTAAACTATCACCAAATTCACAATAAAAACTTTAAAATAAAGATATTTTGAACTATGTGATTAAATGCCGTCAAGTCAATGCCTACTCATAGTGACCTGGTATAGGGTTTCCCAGAAGTTGCTGGTGAATTTGAATAGCCAGCTTTGTGGTTCACAGTCCAGTGCTGATCCTACAGCACCACATAAAGAGTGCTATGAAATAAGCACGAATCTGACCTCTGACTCTTCCCAGGATAATCATCAAAGGTAATTATAAAGCCACAAAGACACTCAAGCATACAAAATACTTTAGAAACTAAAGTACTGTGATCACTTGCATTTGTTGAGACGTGTGATGATATGCCACTGGTATTTCATATGCCCACAGTATCAACTCATTGGGAATCTTCCTCTTTTTCTCTGATGCTCCATCTTACCAAACATGATATCCTTCTCTAGCGACTGGTCCCTTCTGACAATATGTCCAAAGTATGAGAGACAAACTTTGGCCATCTTGGCCTCCAAGAAGCACTCTGGCTGCACTTCTTCCAAAACTGATCTATTAGCCACTGATAATTTTTTGAATAGCAGTTGAACATTGATATACTACCAGAAGATATATCACTCAGATTGGAAGATACTCAGGATAAAACTGGGGAAGAGTTGCATCGTCAAAGTAGAGTCAACCTAACTGGCATGAATGCCGGCAAGCTTTTGGGACCTTCATTTGCTGATGTGCTATGATTCAAAATGAAAAGAAACAGCCAAAAATATCTATTAATAATCATAACATGCAATGTTTGAAGTATGAACCTAGGAAAATTGAAAGTCATCAAAAATTTTGCAAAAATTTTTGCAAAAATTAATGCAAAACATTTTTTTTGCAAAAATTAATGCAAAAAATTAATATCCTGGGCATTAATGAGCTGAAATGGATAAATATTGGCCATTTTAAATTGGATACTCGTGTGGTATACTACACTGGAAATAAGAAATTTAAGAGGAGTAGCATCACTTTATCATCATAAATAGCATTTCAAGATCTGTCCTGAAGTCAATGAAAGGGTAATACACATACAAGGAAGACAAGTTTATATGATTATCTCAAATTTACAAACCAACTATTAATGTTGTTGTTGTTGTTGTTAGGTGCCATCTAGTCGGTACCGACTCATAACAACCTTATGCACAGCAGAATGAAACACTGCCCGATCCTGGGCCAACCTCACTATTTATTGTTGCCACGCTACCGTACTACTAATGATAATGACATGGAAATTGAAGACTTTTACAAAATTCTGAAGTCTAAATGGATCAAACATATAATCAAGATGCACTGATAATTAATGCTTATTGAAATATGAAAGTTGGAAACAAAGTAGAAAGATCCATAGATGGAAAATATGGCATTAGTGATAGAAAGGGTTTCAGAGATCATATGGTAGAATTTTTGCAATGATGTATTCACTCCAAAGGACACTGTAGGATAGGCACTAGATTGCAAGCTACAAGGTCAGCAGTTCAAACCCACCAGTCACCTCTTGGAAACCCTTTACAGGGTTATTATGAGTCAGAACTAACTCCACGGCACTTAAACAAAACAAAAACCTTTTTTTTTCAGAAACATAAATGGTGACTTGAGATGTGGACATGACCAGATAGAATATATAGGAGTCAAATCAATTACATCTATGAAAAGAGATAATGGAGAAGCTCAATATCATCAGTCAGAAGAAAGCTGGGAACTGACTTCAGAATAGACTATCAGTTGCTCATATATGAGTTCAAGTTCATTCTACCAACATGAAAATGAATACACAAAACCAACATACAATCTTGAGTATATTCCACTGGAATTTAAAGACCATCTCAAAAATAGATTTGATGCATTGAACACCTACAGCTGAAGACCTGAGGAGTTATGGGATAACATCAAAGACATACATGAAAGAAACAAAAGGTTATAAAGAGAACAGGAAAGACAAAAGACCAAAATTGATGTCAAAAAGAACTCTAAAACTTGCTTTGAATGTAGAATATCTAAAACGAAAGGAAGAAAAGATGAAGTAAAAGGATGAAAATATTTCAAAGAGGCTTGAAAAGGCAAATAATTATTATAATGATATGTGCACAAACACCTAGAATTAGAAAACCGAAAGGAGGGAACACACTTGGCAAATATCAAATTGAAGAAAAAAATTCAAGTCTCAATTGCACTATTGAAGGATTCTGTGGCCCAAACTGCCAGCTGTTGTGCAGGAGAAAGATGAGGTTGTCTGCTCCCATAAAGATTTAAAGCCTCGGAAAAGCTTATTATGTTGTTGTTATGTGTCATCAAGTTGGTACTGACTCATAGTGACCCTATGCACAACAGAACAAAACATTGCCCAGTCCTGGGCCAACCTCACAATCATTGCTGCATCTGAGTCTATCACTGCCATCACTGTGCCAATCTGTCTCATTTGGGGTCTCCCTCTTTCTCTCTGACCCTCCACTTTACCAAACATGATATCCTTCTCAAGTGACTGGTCCTTCCAGCTAATATGTCTGAAGTATGAGAGACAAAGTTTGGCCATCCTGGCTTCCAAGGAGCACTCTATTCTGGTTGTACTTCTTCCAACACAGTTTTGTTTGTTCTTTTAGCAGTCCATGGCTCTTTTAAATTCTCCTCCAACACCATACTCAAATGCATCAATTATTCTACAGTCTTACTTATTCGCTGTCCAATTTTTGCATACATATAAGTTTATTGAAAATACCATGCCTTGAGTCATGTGTACCTTAGTTCTCAAACTAACATCTTTGCTCTTCAACACTTTAAAAATGTCTTGTGCAGAAGATTTACCTTATGCAATACATCATTTCATTTCTTGACTGCTGTTTCAATGAGTGTTGATTGTCGATCACAGCAAAATGAAGTCACTGACAACTTCAATTATTTTCTCCATTTGTATGGATGTTGTTTATTGGTCCAGTGGTGAGGATTTTTGGTTTTGTTACATAGAAGTCCAAACCATACTGAAGGCTGTGGCCTTTGAGCTTCGTCAGTATTTTAAGTCCTCTGCACTTTCAGCAAGCAAGGTTGTATCATCTACATATCACAGCTTGTTAATGAGTCTTCCTCCAATACTGATGCCATGTTTTCTTCATATAATCCAGCTTCACATATTATTTGCTCAGCATATAGATTGAATAAGCATGGTGAAAGAATACAACCCTGGCACATACCTTTCCTCATTTTAAAGCATTTGGTTGTCCCCTTTTCTGTTTGAAGAGCTTCAGCCTGACCCTGTATATGAGCAATTAATAATCTGTTCCATAGTCTGCCCCGGCCCTCTTTTAACTGATGGTATGAAGCTTTTCCATGGTCTCTTCCCATAGTTGTAGTCAATTTGACTTCTATGTATGTCATCTATATAGGACCAGCTTTGTCTTTCATGATGTTTAAAAGAGGTATTTGCAGTAGTCATTGGTCTTGAGAAATTCTATCTTGCATTCTCCAGCAGTGTTTCTATCACCAAGGCCATATTTTCCAACTAGAGATCCCTCCTCTTTGGTTAAATCCTTTGCTTTCCAATCACCAGTAATTGTCAATACATCTTGATTGCATGATTGATCAATTTCACACTGAAGAAGATGGTAAGATTCTTCAATTTCTTCATCACTGAAAGACAGTGTTATACTTCATGACTGATCTTGGTATGTCCTTTTTGATAATGGAAAACCCTACACAGGGTCACTATGAGTCAGAACCAACTCCATGACATACAACCACCATGGCCAAAATATTGAACAATATAGGAAGCATCTAGATGGAAGTGATACACAGTGCCACTACACCATAAATAATTGGTCAGCATTCACCCATTATAGAAGGTACCACAAGGTTGGTTTAAATCACAAAGTCTGTGGTTCAAATTCACCAGTCACTCCTTGGAAATTGTACATAGGGTTACTATGAGTTGGAACCAATTCAAAGGCACTCAACAACAAGAGTGGTATTTAAGGAATAAACCCAATATACATTGAAGGCATTGGCCAAAAAAGAAGATGTAGTCATGCCTGTTTCAAAGAAAGGTAATCAAGCAGAATGTGGAAATCATCAAACAATATCAATAATGTCACCCACAATTAAAATTTTATGAAAATAGCTCATAAACAATTGCACCTGTACATAGAGAACTTCTAGACATTCAAGCCAGATTCTGGAGAAAGGATGTGCAATAAGGGATAGCATTGTAGTAAGCCTCATTTTTCTCCCACTGAGTGACTGGTGGGCTTGGCCTTGTTGTTCACAGTGTCGTGCTTACTGTACAGAGCCATAATTCTCCCTTAGTATAAAGTAGCATATTTCAGAGTGTGAAAATTTCTGTCCAGCTCTTGTACTTCCTCCTATACTTCAAGATAGATCTTCAAATGTCTTGTCAATGGTTAATGTGATATCATTCCTCTTCAATTTATCATTTTCAGTATAGTATACCATATGATTGTCAGATTCAAAATGACCAAAAACAGTCCATTTCAGCTCAGTAATGACTAGCATATGGATCTTTATGCATTCTATTTCATTTTTGAGAACTTCCAATTTTCCTAGTTTCATACTTCATACATTCGCTGTCCCCATTATTAATTGATGTTTACAGCTGTTTCTCTTCATTTTGAGTTGTGCCCCATCAGCAAATCAAGGTCCTGAAAGGTTTACTGCATTTACATCATCACTGTCAACTTTACTTTGAGATAACAGGTCTTCCCCATTATATTTTGAGTGCCTTCTAACCTGAGGGACTAATTTTCCAACACTATACCTGAGAATATTCAGGGCTATTCTTCATGTTTAAATATTCT